GAAAAGTTCGAGCGTTATTGCGCTCAGGCCGTGGCGAACGTTGCCCAAACGGCCAGAAAATTCAGGCAGCCAGGTTGACTGCCTAGACCGCCGCGAGAAGCAGACGCCAACGCCACGCCACCGTTATTACAGCCGCCAGGCCGAGTCCAACAATACAGAGTTACCTGCAGCTTTCACCATGCCCCCAGTACTTGTAAACCCCCAAGATCTGGCAAATACCCCCCATTCCTAAGAGATGCTCTTTCGACACCCGGAATCTTTCTGCCGCAGCCGCCGTTTCACCGCAACTCAACCCGGTATTCCCCGCTGCCCGCGATCAGCCACCACGTAATGCCCCAAGGGCCATATTTCCATCAAACAGTCACACTTCCCGCGGTCAGCAAAACGTAGTGCCCTGCGGGCCGTATTCCCATCAACCAACCATGTGGCGCCTCCACGCGCCCCTCTTGGCTCCGTCTCACGGTGAGACTCTCACCGAGGTCCATGGCAGACCTCCAGGCGGGCAGCTCCCAAGCAAACGCACGCTTCCAATGGCAAAATGGGTGCTCCTCAGTACTCCAAGGCAGGCTTGGTTTTTACGTTTACGTTTACGTTTTTACTTTTACGTTTTTACGCGTAAAAACGTAAATTTGCAAAAGGGCCTATTTTTACGGCTGTTTTTGCGTTTTTACGGCTCTCTGGCACACGTAGTTTACACGACAAAAGTTGCCTATAATGATCAGTCCTCCACCATCTGCAACACTCTCAACACAACGTCCACCTCGCCCTTGGCAAGGGCGATAATGACGTTCAACAAAAACTCGTCTTCTGCCTCTTCCAAAGCTTCTGGCTGCCACTCTCCGGACTCTGTAAATTTGCATGTACTGTCCTTATGTACACCAAGCAGTTTTTACGTTGTATTTACGTATTTTTACGCATTTTTACGCGTAAAAACGTAAAAACTATTTTTACGCGTAAAAACGTAAATACGATCAGTTTTTACGGCGTAAAAACCAAGCCTGCTCCAAGGTGTTTTCAGGACGTGTCTGGCTCATGTGTCACCGTGTGATGCGCTGCCACGTATTGGCGTTGTGCTCAGCATCTCCACAGTATCATAGCGGACACTTTGGGCGTATGATGAAGTTGCCATAGTCTATCTTTGTCATCGAAGTCATCTCCCTGCGTTCTGAGTGCCTTGAGCTCGCAATACTAGAAAATTATGTAGCATGCCTGATTGGTGACTTGGGGCTTTTCCACCTCAGTGACTGCCAACCTGCTTGATAATGGTCAGTTTGGGGAAGGTGCTGAGGCTGTCGACATCCCATCTGCACCATATCTGGACCTCACCGGTCGCCAGCTGGGCGACATCATTAATTTACTAACTTTTTGATGAGCCCCATTAATTGGCGACCCGAACAGAGCAAAGTTCAGCATAGTGTTCAAGAAGTTTGGCAATAGCACCGGTACCAAGGGGACTGATTGCGGAACTCGCCATGGCTTGCAGCTGCAATTCAGGGTAGATCTGATGGATGAGATGCCCACAAGTCCAAGCTTGCTTAGCTATGTGCAGATGTGGTGTAGCTTGATGTCAGACAGATACCTCTGCAATGCACATCAACAATTTTGGTGGCTATGCAGATTGGCGCTGCACCACTGTACATTGCAGCATGGAATGGGGACACGGAAGCAGTGCAGATCCTGATTCAGGCGGATGCCCAGGTGGATTGCCCCGAAAAGGTGCTTGCAGTCGATTATCTGGTGATTCAGTGGTGTGTACCAAAAACAGATGTATTTTTAAATGCGCCGCTATGAGAGATGTCATAGAAAGTTGCAGTCAGTTGGATGATTGCCACTTCCAGAAGTCACCAAGTGACAACCTACAGTACCCAATTGAACTTGTTGTAAAATAATCGCAGTTCAGCAATCCAATTGGTCTGCTTGATCGCTTGCTCTGTACTTGCATTTGGTGATTTTCGTGCTCAGAGCCACAACCAAATCTATATTCAAAAAGTACTGCCGTGAGAGCTGCCAAAGAAATTGGAATGAGAAGCGTGACTGCAATTAATGATTTCCAAGGGCTGCCCACGTGACAACCACCGCTGCTCAAATCAGTTTGATTTGGTGACATATTGCCATACTTTCAACCCGACAACAATCCACGGTATTTGGCTACTTGCTGGCTCGTCTGGATACTGGGATTTTGTGGCTATGTGCAGATGAAGTGCTGTTTGGCTGCAGACAGATATCTCTTAAATATCTGCCAATAATTGTGGGGGCTGTGTACATGCAGACAGGCTCAGCACCATTGCATGTCGCAGCGCACGGAGGGAAGGCTGAAGTAGTACAAGTTCTGCTTGAGGCTGGTGCCAAATTGGACTCCACAGCGAAGGTGGGATGGCACCAAAATACTTTATGAATTAATCGCGTGTACATACATTGCCAGAAGTTCCTTTCTTTTCAAATAATGTTCACAGTGACAAGCTTCTACGCAAAATGTGGCAGTTGTGTTTCTATGGTGCTGGCCAGCACAACCATGGGTGTGCAGAGGAGAAAACACCAGCAGCCACAAAACTTTTGTGTTTTGGAAACCTCAATCGAAAGCCTGTCTACATCACGCAATTTGCCGGATGGATCACAGCTTAACATGCAAGTTATGTGCCCTGCCGCATGGCTACGTAGCCAACAAAGTATACTTTGTTGATACATGCAAGCAAATGACCCTGCCGTGTCTGTGTGCACTAAGGATGGCCGAACGCCATTGTTTGCCGCGGCATCCTGGGGGATCAGTGTATAGTGCAACTGCTGGTCAATGCCAGTGCAAACATTCAACATGAGCGCAAGGCGCCATGGCGATTTTGCACTGCTACCATGATTGCCTCAGCGGGTTTCAGAGCTAACTTGAAGATTCAAAAGAACGTGCTTTTGGGATCCTTGACTGTAACAGAGAAAGATATTCATACAGAATTACAGCATTTCAATGGTTGTAGCACTGTAATTCCGAATGAAGGTGCAATGATTTCTCTTCCGTTTTATTCTTAAAATGAACTTGCGAATGCCTCTATTCAAGGGCTAGACGTGGTACACTTCTGTTCGGGAATCTGTTCTCAATTTGGTGTCGTGCACCCATTCTTCCTGCACCGCATGACCTACTGGTCTGCTTCACGCAAAACATTGGCCTGCGATCAATGCAAACACCGCCTGAAACATTGAGATATGGACATTGAGATATCTGCCTAAGGTTGAGCTGGCACTGGCGGCTGCTCTTGCTTGATTGATGTCATGTTGCATTTCTGCTCCTGTTTTCGTGAGTCATACACAAGCCTGATCCTCGTTTGCGCTCGGCAGCATGTCTGGGAATTTACCTGCGGATCGTTCATTGATTTTAGTATCTATGGCGTGCAATGGACCGGAGAAATTGCTATAATGTGGGCTCGCAAAGAAGGACGAAACGCAGTAGCCAAGTACTTGTCCCAGGCCGCTGGTCAGCAGAACTCAGATACGGCCAGAGACGCAAGAAACCCAGTCTCGGACACAAATGTCGCAGCGCGTTCAAGATCGCCTGAGCATGGACGTCACGAGAGAACATTGTACATGTATCCAATGGTTTTACGTTATAACAATTGTCCTAAATTCAGCTATTAGCTGAATTTAGAATGACTGAATCTTCAGCAACCATCGTATGTCTTCTAGAATGCACGCTATCAACATGAGCGATGGCTGCCACCACTACTGCAGGGGCTCAGGAACCCGGAATGGGCCCAAATAGCATGCGCCCAGGGCGTGCAACCATTGGTTGCTGAGCTTCTCCACCCCGGGTGAGTTCGGGTGCACACACGTAACCAAAATTTATGGACACGGGCAAAAGACGCCACTGCAGTCCCTGGTTTCGGGAATACAAGAAAAACCCCAGCAAACCGCAAGCAGAGAGCCATGGATGGACGAGCAAGTCCTGGTGATGATGATTTGTGGAAAGACGATCAGTCTACGAATTGATGGGCAGATGAAGGTGATCAAAGCTTGCCCAAAAGGTGAGTTTTGTGGCACATCTGTTAGCCTGCAAGCTGCAGAGAATTCTGCTTGGGCCCCTCAACAGGTATTGGTGTTGTCTGAATGTTGATTGGGTAGCATATGCCAAGGATGGAAATTTGTAGTTAAGTAGACAATGTGGAGTCGGGTGGGAAGAGAAGTGCGTCAAGCAACAAGAGTGTCAATGATCGACCATGCTCACAGAAAATCGTGCATCCAGCCATATTATGTAAACGGCTCCGACTCCAATGCCGTGTTTGCTGCTCTTTGGAAGGATAGTGTTCCCAACTCGCACAAAAGAGAACAGACCTGATATTTACCTTCAGCTCCAGTTTGCTTTTCCTATTTATCAATGCTTTTGTGGACTGGAGCAGGCCAGTTTATCGGGGCATTCAAGCGTTTCCTTGCTCTTCGTGAGCAGAACGCCTCCCTCACCCATCCTCATTCACCCATCGGCGAAAGTCTCCCCCGCCGCACTGCGCCGCATTCCGCGTCCTCTGAACAGCGCCTCCGCCGCTCTGCCTCCATGCTGATGCAAGCGCAACGGGGCGGCCATCACAGCTGTCCAGTCACAGCTGGCGTTTCGAGATTTCAGCGGCCAACCCCCTAGCGTCCCTCCCTTGCGCGCTTGCCCGCTGCCCGAGCCTCGCCTCCCACGCCGCCTCCCACTCCCCGCCCCCCACCCGCCAAACCAAAAAGCGACCGCGACCGCTCATGGCCGCGCGATCGGCCGCCCTGCTGTCGCCGGGCGCCGCGTGCCCCCTGGTGGCCGCCCGGAGCCACATCGCGGCGGCATGCCGGCCCCAGCCGCAGCAGGCGGAGGCCTCCTGCCCGGGGAGGACGCCTGCATGCGGGGAAGGCTGGATCTGGGGACGCCCGTGGGCGCCGGGTGCAGGGTGGAGATCGAGATCGATTTGCGCGGGGGCGGCCGCGGCGCCCGCGGATGTCGCCGCGCCAGTGGGCGGCATGAACCTGAAGGGTGGGCGGAGGGGGTGATGGGACTGGGCTGCGTTGGGTTGGATCTTTGGGGCTGGCTTGCGCTGACGGGCCGTGGGGCTGTGGATCAGGGAAGAAGGCGTTCATCGCGGGCGTGGCTGACGACCAGGTGCGGGAATTCGCTGCTCTGGCGATTGACGGCGGAACGGAGGCCCGGAGGTCTTGATCATGGGACAGGGGCTTTGGGGTTTGGTGCTTTTGCCTGCGCCGCGCGTTTGCGTATCTGCGCGGTCTCGTAGCTTTCTTGGTCTCCCGGCGGATGTGGCCGGAGCGTTCAAGGGAGAGGGAACAAGAGGTCTGGCGGGTTGTGAGCGACAAGCGCAATGGACGTGATGTGTGACTGATCAAGGAGCTGACTTGGATCGGGACGGCTTCTTGTGTGATCAGGGCTTCGGGTGGGCGATAGCAAAGGCACTGTGCGACGCTGGAGCAGAGGTGTACTTGGGAGTGTGGGTGAGGAAAAGGGGTCTCATTGACCGCAATCTTGTCTTCTTTGTCCCACGGCGAGCAGCGCTTGTCTCTCAGGTTGATTGCTGTCTTTATTCAATGCATGTAAGACACGATCTGCGCTGGACAGCCCCATGGTTAGTTATGAAGTGGTTTGAGTTGTTTGCACACAATCTGTACTGCATTCAGAGACTTCCTCACCATCTTGAAGCCTACTGCGTGTCCCTACCCTCCCAGCTGGAAGGCAATGTTCAATCTGGCAGTGTAGAAATGTGTACCAGATATTTGTTTCCATACGATAGTACCCATTTCTTGACCTCTTATTCACCTCAGCCTTCGTCCTCACCATCTTGAAGCGTACTTACTGTGTGGCATGTATCCTTCCAGCTGGAAAGGCAGTATTCAATCTGGCAGGGTGGAAATGTGTACCACATATTTGTTCCGGAGGGCGGTACCCATTTTTTGACATCATATTCTCCCCCAGCCCTCGGATGTCAATTAATGGGTGCCACCATCTCACAACGTCTGCTTTTCTTTGAATCTGTAGCAAGTTGTGTCAGGTTCCTTGACATTGCTTGCAGCCTTGCAGGTGCCAACGATGAAGATATTTGAAACCAGCCTGAGGAGGGGCAAGTTCGATGAGTCACGAAAGCTGAGCGATGGGAGTTTGATGGAAATCACCAAAGTCTACCCCCTGGATGCAATGTTTGATACCCCAGAAGATGTGCCAGAAGAGGTGATCACTGCAACGAACCTCACTTGATGTCCATAAATCTTCACACTATGATGTTTCAGTCAAGATGGGACCAGTCACTGGGACCATATCCTTCACTTGGATTAGGTGATGTTGGGATGTGGAGGCTGGAGTTCTTGTGGACTACCTATGCCCCTGCGTGCTCACATATCTCATTCGATTGTTGTTGGCCTGTTGTGCACCGAGCTGGGGGTATGATACTATCATTCCACTCAACATTGTCGAGTTGCTGGAAACAATTTGCCAGCGTATGCACTGCAGTAAAATCCTTTGGACACCAGGTCTAGACAGAAGCACATCAATGCCTGTAGGAAATCTGCCAATGCTCTGCCCTTCATGGTTCTGCTGTGGCCTGCTCACTGTACTTGCCTGTTTGGTGCCAAACCTGCAGGTCTCCACGAACAAGAGGTATGCAGGGGCAAGTGGCTACACCATATCTGAGGTGGCGGCACAAGTGAAGAAGGATTTTGGAAGCATTGACGTTTTGGTGAGCAGGGTGCTTCCTTCACTACCCACCTGAAGCCGTCTCAGAGACCAGCATGAACTGTGATGGACGTGTGAACTGATCAAGAATTCACAGGACAGCATGGCACTTCAGCATCAATTGCAATGGCAACTGTTGCACTTCCACGAACAACATTTCAGCCAAGCAGCTTGCAAATGTTTTGGATGCAAGTACATTGAGTGCTGCCACGTTTGAGGCATCTGTGCAGTTAAAACTACCTCCATGAGTTGCCAAACTGTTAAGTGCATGCCAGGTGCTGAGGGGCATAAACATCCTTGGATGCGAATTGTGCTATTGTAGATTGATAGCCCAACGGAGAATATGAACATCAATGCAGGTGATAATGTCAAGTGGGGCAGCCCTTGTACTTGAAACTGTGGCACCCTGCCAAGAGCTCTATCCTTGCTGTCCCAGTGAAAATGAAGAGCTGATTGGTGCACCAAGTTATTTGCAGCCATGATAGTCACTTTGGGGTAGTTGATCTCATACAACAATTGTTCTGTCTGATATATTGACAAATCAGAAGTCGAGCATGCGACTTGGCTTCGTGTTGTGAGGCACACAGGCTGTCAGTTGTGCTGATTGTGATTATGATGTTGAGTTTTGTGACTTTGCAACCCAGATTCATTCACTGGCAAACGGTCCAGAGGTGACCAAGGACCTGATTGAAACGTCCAGAAAGGTGAATGTGGAGTTGGTACTTCATACGTCTGTGTTCCATCGCGGTGACGCGATTACATTGCAAACAATATGCCCATGTTGAAGCAGCTGGTGGGAAACAGTAGGTTGAATAGGAAAGACTGGTATTGCCGGGGGACCTGGTAGGAATTGTGCTGGGAACAACCAGTTGCAGTGCTTTATGATCCACTTCCCAGTAACAGGTTGCAGTGCTTTATGATGCACATCCCACTAACAGGTACATCCTGCTCCGCCTAATTCACAAATCCAACGTGGTCCTGTGTCAGTTTTCCCAGAACATTCTGTATCAGAGCTGCCACAATTGGTGTTCTCTTGGTCTTTGTTCGGCCCATGCACTGTCTGCCTGTTGCGTGCTAGAAATCTCTGCTTCGGTGCTGTCGCTTTTGCTTTGGGTGTGTACTTGATCGTTCTTTAGATTTTTTATTACACATGATTGACTGACAAGTGCATGAGCGCACACGCGATTTGGAAAGGGAAAACATGGGCTCGATCTAGTCCAATTTAGGGTTCAGCCTAGTCCACGCTGAGTGGAGGAAAAACCTGGTCCAAACTGAAGTTCAACCTTGGCCAGCCATGTGGAGCACAGGTGTTCGATACCCTTTGTTTTAGGAGATGATGGCTATGAAAGCTGTTTGAGTGCTTTTGCGCTTTTGTTTATAGGTTTTGGGGTTTTAGGGTTTGCGCTTTTCTTGTTTGTAGGGCCAGTACTCAATTTGGACCAGGCTGAACCTTAATTTAGACTAGGGTTTTCCTCCACCGAGCGTGGACTAGATGGAACCTCAATTTGCACCAGGTTTAACATCTGCACCCCTTTGGAAAGGCGTTAGGCGCTCCCGTACTAAACAGGTTTCGATCCGCATCTGTGTGATCAAATGCATAGTGATTAGTAACATGGCAGAGCAGGCCTATGGAGATTGGTGCAACAGGGATCCATTGGGCTTGAGATAAGATTTTGTGATTGCTTCCTGCAGGGTTACTTGACTGCCATATCTGCATCCAGCTATTCTTTTGTTTCCATGGTCCATCACTTTGCGCCAATCATGACCCCTGGTGCAGCTGCACTGTGCTTGTCCTATATTGCTGCTGTGAATGTCATTCCGGGATACGGAGGAGGCATGAGCTCAGCCAAAGCGGTACGTTAAGCTGATCTTTCTGCTCGCACTAGGAGCTGGAAAATGTAGACTAGGAATTAGGAATGCTCAGCGTTGTGCCTTGGCCAACTGAGCATATTGCTTGGTTAGACCCTGTGATATGAAGTCTCACAGCTGTTGTGCAGAAAACACCCACAAATAAGGAAGGAACAGTCCAGAGGATAGCATGACAGTGTAGATGCGCCATCCCTTTGATTATTCCAGCCCCTTGCAAAGACGTCCTAATACCAATCCATGCCCAGGCCGAATGGTAGTCTTTGTACTGGTGGGTGCAGTTGTGCGTCCTTGAAACACTCTGGATTCATTGTACTGTTGTCATGTAACGCAGCGCAGCAGTTGCACCTGCAAGGCGATGACGGACAATGTTCCACCAACTAGGGAAGGGATCAGCTAAGCAACAGTCGTGCACTTATAGGAGCACAACTTAGCCCTGTATAGACTTTGAACAAGGCGGAAATAATTTTGCAAGCATACCACGCTGGAGGCAGTTCCAGTTCCCAGCATTGTCGGCATGGATCTGTTTCATAGCGATGGATACACCGTTTTTGAAAGCACAGTCCTTGATTGAATCCCGAAATTGTCCAACAGGCAGCTTGTGGAAACAATTCTTCTGGTTATTGTCGCATGGACATTGCATTGAAGCACCAGTCCTGCAGCAAAGATGTCGTTTGATGTGAAAGTAGTGTATGCTGTCAATCCAACGGTGCATTTTGAGGGAAGAACCAAATAGCTAGCTGTAGTTTTAAAGATCTGAAGAGCAGATTTGATTTCCTTGCAATTTATGACCCGAATTGCAGCGACTGAGTCTGACGTGGTTCTAACATGGCCCCTGCATATTATGAAGGCGCTGGAGTCTGATACCCGAATGCTGGCCTACGAGGCCGGCAGGAAGCATGGCATCCGTGTGAACTCGATCTCAGCAGGCCCGTTGGGCAGCCGGGCCGCCAAAGCCATTGGCTTCATCGAGGAGATGATTGCCTATTCCTATGCCAACGGGCCCCTCAAGGACAAGGAGCTGTACGCCGATGAGGTGGCGAACGTGGCTGCCTTCCTATGTTCCCCGAAGGCATCAGCGATCACTGGACAGGTCCTGCATGTGGATAACGGCCTGAGCATAATGGGAGTGGCGCTTGACAGCAAGACTTTTGCGGATGTCGTGGATGAGCACACGTGAGGCAGGAGGGGCATGGGTGGGGTGTTTAACAGAAGGTTAAGGGATTGGGTACCAAAGGCATGTAACAATCATGGCCAGGGGTATGGGCCATTTACTGATGTGGGAGCATTCTTTGTGAATGGGCTGGGCCATCAATTGGAGTTGGGATGTTCATTGCAAGGGGCTGGGCCATTGTCATGGAAGGCCATTCTCATGAAAGGCGTATTGATGCTGTGATGCTATCCATGACTGAGCCTTTCTTTGGTTGTTTTCTGGGGAGACGCGTATCAGAGCGAATCATTTGACAGTTAGACGAATCGGTCGTGGCCGATGCTCGGTGTTTCATATTGAGGCTGATAATGAGGGTGCGACACAAGTGTTCACGTGTCGTCAAGTATTGAATTCGGTTCTGTGTTCCCCTGCACATAGACGGGATGCCAATCCCGCATTCTGGGGCAACACTCTGGTGGTGCTTGCCCCACAACTCATGCGTCGCTTGAAGATGGTGGCCCTTGAAGAGTGCAGGGCAATTTCTCGGAGGTACCGCTTTTCACAGACCAAGGCGGATAGCGAACAACACCCTTTGCGGATGCATGTTCTTGTTAGTGGGCCAGTTTGTCGATATCAGGTGGAGACAGTGTGCACCAGAAAGGCGAGTGGGCCCTGCTGGCATGTGTGGGCGCAACACACAAACAAGCTCGGCGTCTAGGACTTGCCCGGTGGGCAAGAGAACGTTCATATCTACTGAAACTCCTTGCGGCAGCGTGCTGGATGACAGCTTAATCGCTTGGCCATAGACATGGCGATGTAATTAACTTTCATCTGGTGCACATTTTACATTCGATTTGATGCACCACAGGGTGCACGACTGGGGGCGGCGTGCACAGGTATGCTTTGGTTGCATTGTTTTGATCTCCACAAATCAAGCCCGGGCACCTGCAAGATGACGGGCGGCTACAGCGACACCATTTGATGCGCAGTGTGTTGGTGGGCTCGCCGGGTGGGTCATGCATGTTCCGAACAATCTGGAACTCCTTCGACCACAAGTGTTGCGTTAGAACGGTGTGGTGCACCTGCTCAGGCAACCAGGTGGTGAGTATTGTGTCTTTTGTTGCGCATCCAGCTATCTGCTTTGCAATTCACTGGACCCGATTCCGTCCAGTTCATTGTCAGGGGGCTCACCACGGGGCCAAGAGCAAGAACGGCCATTGGGCATGCACTCTTCAGGTTGCCCACAAGTGCACACTCCAGGTACCGTGGAACGTGAGGCAAAATCGACAACAGAACTGCACGCAATCCAACCTCCCGGCTTTTTGGGCGACCAAGCCCCCAGATGCGTCCAGCAGTGCTGCTGAAACGCCCATCTTTAAATGTGGTCCTCATCGCGGGTATATCCGTGGAGATCCGATCGACCTGTGCCTCCTCGTCCGACCGCCACGCCCCTGGCACCATCGCCCGCCCTAACAATTCCACGCCCTTCGCACGCTAGACCCCCAGTGTCCCAATCCCAGTGACCGCATCAACACCAGGCCCTGCCGCAGCCCTGGGGGTCCCGCCCCGCTCGCCCTCCCCAGCCCGCGCTCGCGCTCCCGTCGTCAGCGGCGACGCTCTTGGGCCTCCGGCCCCAGCCCCGCCTGCTGCCGTCCTCCGACATGCGGTCGAAATCCGATTCGCCGATGTCCGCGAGATAGTGCTGGTCGTCGAGCTCCTCGTAGGGCACGTCCTTGTAGGCGCCCACGGCCGGGGGCGCCGCCACGCCGCGGGGGGACAGGTCGCCGACAAACGCCCCGCGCGGCGCTCGGGCCGGCGCGCCGATCCCCGTCCCCGGAGCCTTGGGGCCCAGAGCATAGTCCCTGTTTCCTCCCGTGATCGGCGCGTTCCACGGCGCGTTTCCGAGCCCGGGCGGCATGTGCGGGGTCCCGCCGCCTCCAAAATATTCATGTCCGAGGCCCGGAGGCATTTTTCCGTTGTGGGGAAGGCTGCTCGGTGTGAGCCCCGGGGGGATCTGGTGTGACCCTGGGCGGCGAGAGTCGTCGCGTGTGGCCGTCTTTGGCGGCCCGACGTGGACGGGCGCGGGGGGGCGAAAATAGTTAAGGGTGGCGGATGATGCGGGCCGCACCGGCAGCGAGGCCACGCTGGAGGCGCGGGAGCCCCGGAGGACGCTCCAGTCTGAGTCGTAGCCCACGCTGTCGCAGGCAACGCTGTCCGCGTCCTCGGCCTCGGACGTCGTCGCGCACCCGGTAGGCTGGCGGGGCGCGCTTGCATGCAGCTCCCTCTGCCTCTGGTGCTCCCTGGCGATGAGGGCGATCAGCCGCTGGCCCCGCACCGTGGCGCCGTGCGTGCCGCGGACCGCCGCTCGCGCCTGATCGCGCCCGGCGAAGCACACGAAGCCGAACCCACGGCTCTCGCCGTCCCTGTGGCGCATGACGCGATGGGCCACCACGGTGCCGAATCTGGAAAACATGCCCAGCAGCCTGCGGTCGTCGATGGCCTCGTGCAGGCCGCGCACGTAGACGCTGCTGTCGCGGTGCTTGCCGTCTCGTGCGAGCAAGTCCGCCCTGAACTTCTGCATCCCATTGCGCTGGCCGCTGCGCCGGGCGTGCGCCACGGACAGGCGCCTGCCCTCCACGATCCGGTCGTGCATGCCCGCGATGGCCCTCGTAGCGTCGGCTGGACTGTTGAAATCGACGAAGCCGAACGACTTGGACCGCCAGGCCTCGTCGCGCATCACCAGCGCCGCCGCCACGGGCCCGAACGGCCGAAACAGGGACCGCAGCCGAGTGTTGTCGATCCCACAATCCAAATTCCTTACGCACAGCTGCGTGAAACCATGCCCGGATCTCTGGACGATCGTCGGCGTCACGAAGAGCCTCTTGCCCCCCAAAGGCGCGCCGTCCATTTGTTCAACCGCCCTGTCGGCATCTGCGGCGCTCTCGAATTGAACAAAGCCGTGCAGCAGGCTCTTTCCCGCCGCATCCGTGGGCACCCTGCAGGCGAAGATCGGCCCGAAGCGGGCGAACATGTGGTGCAGATCCTTGGTGCCCGTGCCCGGCGCCAGGTACTTCACATACAGCCCCTTCCCCAGCCGGCGCCTCAGCGCGGGGTCCCTCACGAACCGCATCACCCTGATCGCCCCACCACCCACCTCCCTGTAGTTAAGTTCCTCCAGGGCGCGCCTCACAACAGACGGATCCGCGTAGCTCTGGTAGTTAACGTATGCATGCCCGCACCGTCTCGACGGCTCCCGGATCGACATCGACTGCCTCGCCCGGCAGATGCGGACGCTGGCCACCGGGCCCAGGGCGCCGAACAATTCGAACAGCTGCCGCTCGGTCACGCGAGGGCGCACGTCCGCCACGAAGAGTGTGCCGCGCCGCGGGGGCTCCCGTAGATTGGATCTGAGATCGGGGGCCGAATCACCGCGTGGGGATGGCGGGCAGCTGGAGGGGGCCGCCCGGCGCTGCGGGAGGGGGCGCCGGCGGTCCGGGCCGCAGTCGGACAGGTAGGCGTCCGCGGCCATCGGTGGGGGGCGGAAAGGGCACAGGGGGAATAGGGGAGGCGGGTCAGTCGGGGATCATCTTCAACCGGCCCCGATCTGCGGGGTGCCGTTTCCTCCGGTGGAGCCTTCGATCCCCGACCCCCCCGCGCTGCCCCCTCCCTGCCAGAGGAGTTCGGGGGAGGAGTCAGATTCGAATCATCGCCGATTGGCCCCGTTCCGATGTCGGCATTTTCCACCGCTGGGGCCTCCAACGAGCCCTGTCGGCCCCGCTGCGCCCCTCCCAGCCGTGGTGCTTCCCCTGCGCGCGGCGCCCAGGGCACTCTTCGCGCCTTCACGAACGTCCAACAGAGGTACAGAAACTCGATTAGTAAATGGTGTCGGTTGGGCGCTTAATGAGAATAGCGAGTGTCGATTGAGGGCTTAATGAGGATATGAGCATCCAGGGGTGACAGAAATTGGGGGGGGGGTAATGTACTAGTGGACAGAAATGGGGTGGAGGTGGGGCGGAGGGTGGGTGAGTGGGAGGGGATGCCGACCCAGCGCAGCGAGCGGGCGGGCGACAGCCCGGAGGTCGAGGCGCGGCCGCGGGCGAAGGCGCGGGGGATGGAGCGCAGCGGCGCGGCGAGGGCGGAGCGCCTGAGCGCGGAGCAGGAGGGCGCGCTGCTGGCGCTCGGCAACAGGCTATGTTGTCCGATCTGGTGAGGGAGGCGGGAAGATTGTGTGGCGGCAGATTGATCGTTTTGGGGGGCATGACGTGGGATGGGTGGGCTGGTCCCTGGATAGAAGTCTGCTCGCGGCTGCTTTGCTTGGTTTGAAAGGTGATGTGGCGGTCCACGAGCGCGGGGCGAACGCGAGTGGCCCGGCCTGCAGGGGACATGCGGTGTGGACGCGAAAGTTCGGACGTGGGCTCGAATGGAGACGGTTGTAGGAGAGTGGGATCTGAGTTTCTAGAAGCTTCGCTTGCGTGTTTTTGGTGGGAAAGTTGGGGACTCGACTCGCCTCGACTGAGTTGGGACCAGGCTCAAGTGTGGCATTGTGTGGGCTGCAGCGGGAGGCTGTTCAAAGATCCATCTGAGCTGAAATGCAAGCACAAGTTCTGCAGGTGAGGGACAGGATGGCGCTAAGCGAACGGATACGTGACAGCGGTGGAAGAATACCTTGCCAATTTCACCATCAACCCAACCATCTCAAGGGCAGCATCACCAAGCAATCATTCTCTTCAGTGGTCGATGATTAGGGAATGCACTGTTACCGTTCACGTGAAAACGACACAAAGGTCGGGATACAGGTGTCTACTGAACAGCGGCTGTGAGATAGCGTCGTGCTTCCTGTGATCCGCATGCATTTGGATGGATGAGCTAATGATGTCGATCTGAATGAGCGGAGGGTGGCGCAAACCGCGTTGAATGCTGCTCAACCGCATTTACTAAGCAACCCACACCAGTTCAGGATAGTTTGATGCCAAGCAGCAGCTTTGAATATGTGCTTAGCTTGACACCGTCCAACAGCACCATCTTGTAGGGCAGTGATTTTGGCACACAAAACATTGCAAGTCATCCGAATTTTGGATCCCGGTCGACACAATTCACTCCTCTATTGAGCATTTCTCAGTTGGTTTGTCGACATCGTCCAGTTTTCATCATATCTCGTTGCTAATGGCATCGTTGGCGGCATCGTGATATCCTTGCTGCAGCGAGTGCATCGCGAAGTCCCTGAAGCAAAAGGCATCGTGCCCTGTCTGCCAAGTCCCCTCTGGCATCGACGACATGGAAGTCGACCCGGGCATGGACGGCATCGTATCCCTCTACATCTCTCTCGAGCGCGCCTTTGGGGCATGGCTGCTGTCTCCCGAGCGGCCACGCACACCAGCCAGCCATGATCACAGGACTGCCAATGAGCAAGCTGGTAATGGAATGGGCACAAGATTGTTCTGCAAGTACACCTGTAAAAGGAGTGGACGTACGTGCCACCACCATCAGATCGTTGTTAGTAGATGGTGCACACCTCCTTGGTTTGATTTCAGCTGTTAAATTCGTTGTTGCACTGCCCATGTGCTTGCCAGGCAATGGCCGGCAGTATGCAGCACGTCACAGTTTTTCCAAAATTATACCTGAATCTCCACAACAATGGCACCCTTTCCAATCGACTGTTTGTTGCACGTCCATTTTGCCAAAGAGGTAAACGGGAGAATTCCTATGTTTCATATATCGGTATCTGCATGTGCAGTGGAAGGGGCCCTTTGTTGCATTAAACTTTTGATGTGTAACCTTTTTGTTCACAGACATTGGAGGCACCAAACCTTCCCCTGAGAAGTCAACTGCAGCTCAACACAGTCCTCTGCAATTGGCCCAGCAGCATGCGCTGCCTCAAGATTCTAAGAACGCATCTCCCTGTGGTGATGATATGGATGGTGGCAAGACAGCAATTGCAAGGCCAGCAAACAAACCCTGGACTTTAAGCAGCCAGGGGAACGACTCCTGCATCCTGCCTTCAGTCGCCAACAGCGACACCCATCTGGAACCATTCTGCTGGCTGGCTGGAGGGTCGAACGAAGAGTACCCAAGCCAGGAAACGGTGTGTGCAAATAATTTGGAAGCTTTTGTTGACAAATAGACGCCCTACAGCTGCCTTTGCACGGCATAGCAGGCCCCTTCCCCATTTGGAGCTGAGGTACACATTCAGAAGGTTCTTTTTGTACTCGTTCACTCATTGCTCCCTGCCAGTCGCACATGTGCAGCCAGCATGAAATGAAACATCCAGCGGAGCAATAATTGATGTCCAATCTGCCCAGCATTTGAAACAGTGATCCAAACAACTTGTACTTTTAAGACCTTGAAGGCATTTACACATCCAAACCATTTGCTTGCCCCCATCTTTGCACTTCACTCGTTCCACCAATACCACAACAGTGCTCGTGGCAAGTCTTCTTGTGGCACTCCTGCAATCGCTTTGTCTGTCTGGCCATGTTTGGCTGGCAATGGCCATGCGATATCAACACGTAAGCACCTGTTAGTTTGCACAAATGCCTAAACCTTCCCCATCGCCCTTTTGGTTATGCCTCCCACTGTTGTCGATCGTCAGGTGTGAACAGTGCAGTCTGTCTATGCAGGGTGCGGCATCCCATCGTCAGCAGGAAACTAAAGCTGACAAACGGCTTGCAAAAGGAATTCAGAAAGGGAGGAGGTGAGCTTGCTGTGAATACTTTCGATGCCTAGTATTCAATACACTGCTGTTTATATCTTTTCCATACTTAGTTCGCTTGTGGATTGCAGAATGTAACAAAGAACCAACATACAAGTGCAAGATACACAAGTGCAAGCAGGGTCTCACTGATCACAGCTGCCGGGGCTTGCAAACGGTTTCTTTGGCAGACATTTATGTTGCACAGTAGGACATATCATTTTGGCAGCATGGATAATATGAACAGTTGGGCTGCAAAGATTGATTGTGGATGTGATGGCCCACTTCACGTCCACCCTGTTGGTGCAGAGGCGCCACGAATGCAGGCAATGTGCAGTCCAATATAGTGCAACAAATCTCAACATACTACAAATGCAGGCAGTGTTAGTTGATGTCCCATTGACCATTCTCCTTTGACTGAAAAATTGTTTGCCAATAATTGTCTCCCACAAATGCTCCAACAAAGATAAGGCTGACTTTTTGTCACAACAGATGTGAATGGCAGTGGCCTGGGCACCAGAGCTGTGGATAGTCTGTTGCAGTGTCCTCAAATTTGCAAGTATGAACATGTCAACAACGTAGCCTTGATGCCGAAAATGTGGTCCTCCAACAGTCAGGTTTTGGATTGTAGTGTAGATAACCACTAATGATATTGTGCTTCAGTAAGAGACATAAACACCAATCGGATGGGCCTGCAGGTCCAAGAGACTGAGTGGACAAGCACCAGCTGATGAGGACTGCGAAAACAGCCTTCCAAGCGAGCTGGAAGGAAAATCTTTTGTAAGAGGGACGAAACGATCCAACCGCCGCAGCGGCAAGGACACAAGGGGATTGGGCGATGCCAAGACTGGCAATCAGATGACTATGATGGCATTTGTAGGAAAATCAGGTGCCTGTTGATTCATCTTTATGGATGTGTCTTTGCTGTTAAACTACTTGAGGGCATGGCGTGTGTGGCCAAAAGCAAAATTTCTTCAACGAGACTTCCAAGCTCATTCGTCTGAACCCCATTGTGGAGCCATATGTGCATGTGTGCACAAGGTTGTGCTGTTGATACACTGATGAGCCAAATTTGCAACACCAACATGGCCTACGTTGTTCCATGTAGAACTAGACAGAATGCCAGCCAGCCAAGTTCAGATTGTGTGATGGCAGAATTTAACAACCGCACAATTGGTTGTTGAATGCAGCAAGGTGAAAAACAACACGATGGCCAGGGCACATGTCTCCGCTGACCTCAGAAAACCAGGTGGCATCACTTTTGCTGATGGTCTGCTGAGGCCTCACAGCACTGGGTGAAAACATGAGCAGTAAGATAGATGCCCTGTCTTGCGTGCAGGTTGGCAAAAGAGCCAAGGTGCAGCGATCCCGGAGCAGCTCAAGACAATCGAAGAAAACTTGGGAAGCAGAACACGATCTGTGAGCGCCAGGGTCCAGCTGGCAGATGCAGCCGGCTGGACATGCCCAGTGTGCACGATGGACAACAGGTGTGAAACAATGACGACGACTGGGGTCTGCCATTGATTCTCCTGTGCATTTTGCCATCCCAAAAATAACGATGCATATAAGGGCTCAGATGCGTGGTCCATCCTAATGGATGAGAGGCGGGACTTGTGCCACCACACAAGAAACTGCTATTGTTGTTAATCAGTGTGCCCAGGCCATCATCACCAGAAAGTGTTGTTCCCCTGCCCCATGCGTGTGGGTGTCCATGTAAATGTGCAGCCTAAGGCCATCCTTTTGATGGTGCCAGTCATGTTCTCCAACAAATGTGTGGGGTCAAAGCAGTGTGTGCAAAAAGATGTGTACATGCAGTGCAAGTCTTGCACACAGTGTAGCACAGTACAATGGCTGTGTCAAGTGTCATTTCCATGTTTTGCTGTTGAAGCCTTTGCCAAAACGTGGCACAGGAGAATACACTTCTTTCATTTACTGGTGCTTTGCACCAGTTGACCTTCCATGCACTTCTCCATAATGGCTTGCGTTGTGTTTGTCGATGAACTTGTCCATCTGGCGAGGTGTGGGACATGACTGCTGTTTTTTTCAAATTTTTTGGTAAGGATGCATCAATTCATTCCTTGTTTGCGTTGCTGCCAGGCGGACGTCTGTGCGGTGCACAGCCTGTGAGGAGCCACGCCCAGTGGCAGAAGGAGGCGAAGCGCCCTTGTCTGCACCACCAAAGGTGGCAGATGACCTGAAGACGCCCAGTCATCGACGTGCAATAAGTACGCCCACAAACAACTGGAGGCTTGTACACTATTCATTCATCGTCCTTACTTATTCATGGCCCTTTCAAACCATGTTGGGACATTGTTGCATAGCTTTGGGTGCTGTTGGATTCTTGGATACCTGAGCTCCGCATGTATTTTGTTTTGGAGGCCTTGTTTCTCAGGTGGGGGTGAGTGTTGGCTTCTGGGTTGTTTTGTTGCTGCATTGCTGGCCATTGAGTCTACATGATGCTGCTATGTGTGTGGGGGTATATCAGAGAAGTGCTACTGTTGTTTGTGAACACCTGACAACAACGCTGCCCTTTTAAGTGGGCAGTGCCTTGTCCTGTCGGACAAACTTGGCCAAAGCGGCTTCCACAAGGCTATGTCCAGAAGACTGATAATTGCTGGCATTGCGGCACATATTCTCAGGTCTACCTGCGTTTTACTTTTGTAATATATTGTGTAAACTAGCAATTTTCAAGCCACTTTTAGTTTTTATGGGAGTGACTGCAACAAAATGTGAGTGTAGATGCTGGCATGGGTCCTCTGTGCCAGGGCGCACAATGTTTTGCCGTTGCAAACCAGATCAGGAGTGTTCCACAGCCTATGATTTTCACAAGCGCCGTGGGCAGCGTGGCGCAATGGTTGCAACAGAGATGTCACTCATAAGCTCAAGGCTGCATTGCTGTTTGGATCGCCATGGCACCCCAAAGCTGTGCAGCAGTACAGCGGGCACGGAGCTTGCTGTCGCAATCGCCCTAAAATGCCAATATCTGTATCGACATCTCACGGAGCCCCTCCTGCCATAACGACCACTTGCCAGCATGCCCATTGATGTGTGCACTGACTACCGCTTCTCTTTTCTACTCAAAAGGGCGAAGCGCCAGGACACCCGGCTCCCATCCACGCCCGGCATCCTTACCAACCGGCGGCGCGGTCAGCCAAGCAACGCCCCAGGGTCCATGTTGCTCCTTCTGCCACATGGGGAGCGACGACAGCACGAGGGAGTTGAACCTGGGGGACCTGTTGGACATACAGGGGTCGGACGGCCGGAGCAGGGCTAAGGTGCACCGCCAGTGCGCCCTGTGGGCTCCGCTGGTCTACGAGGTGGGTTTGTCTGGGCGGCTCGGAAGCGCCTGCGCATCATCTGATGACGTCAGGTTCGCGCTGCAGCCCTTGAGCCGAAAGTCAAGAGCCTTCTGGTACTTTGGGATTGGGGTTCACGGGGATGAACCGCAAAAAGGGAGTGCGAATTCAGCAGCAAGACTGCAGCGCTGTTTCGGTTGCCTTGCTTGATGGGTGCAAGGCACCGATTTCTCAGATTCTGGACAGTTTCGTTCACATAATTAAAGTAGTACTGCAAGTGAAGTATTGTTGAGCAGATTGATTCTGCATGCAAAATCGGCATAATGTGTGTATTTGTGGCATGCTGTGACAACGTCAAGCACGACAATGCATTCTTGACTTTGACAGTGGCTACTGTGCCCGGGGCCCATGTTGCCACACAAGTTGAGGGAATCCACTTTCACGTGCTGTGCCTGTGTGTTGCTCATTGTTGCTGATCAACAACCCTGAAAGAAATACCCCCCTGGGAGGATCTGTTGAAATGGCCATTCAACTTTTGATTGCTTTACCTTTTCATCTCAACTTCTTTCAATTTCAACTTTCATTGGGTATTTTTGCTTTTCATTTCAGTTTTTCTTTTTTTGTTACTAATTTGATGTAATCAATCTGTCACTGTGCTTTCTGCAGGAACCGTCTGCACCCAACGGCCTAGCAGATGTGTCACCAGAGCTGTATCGTGCACGGCATCTTAAATGCGCCATTTGCCATAAAACTGGCGCTGCCCTTGGCTGCCTGGTTGCCAGGTGAGGCCACCCAATAGGAGCAAGTCTGGTAAATTGGCCATTTAATTGAATCACAGAGTCAGCAACTACGAGG